AGGAGCTCTAAGCACTTCGAGAACTTATGTTGGGGGAGTTTGCCACCCTACGTGGCTATGTTGATCAGGAGCTTGGCACTTTCCGCGAACAAATGAAGGAAATGCGAGCGGACTGGACAATGTGCAAACGGGCGGTGGCGTCCGGCACCGCTACTACGGGAGTAGTAGCACCCCGGGTTGATATTCCCAAGCCTAAGTGCTATAGTGGGAACCGGGTAGCGAGGGAGTTGGAGAACTTCCTCTTCAGTATGGAGCAATACTTTGAGGCTACGGGCATGGCCGATGAGACCATCAAGATACGCACGGCGACCCACTACCTCACCGACCATGCGATGCTTTGGTGGAGGAAAAAGTATGGTGACATAGGCAAAGGTACGGTCTCTATTGATACTTGGGCTGATTTCACTAGGGAAATTAAAAAGTATTTCTATCCTGAGAATGCCGAGGATGAAGCTAGGGGCAAACTCTGAAGGCTAAAACAAGTTGGGTCGATTCGGGACTATGTGAAGGAATTCACTAACTTGACTCTTGAGATCCCGGATCTATCCGACAAGGACTCTCTTTTCTTCTTCATGGATGGATTGCAGTTGTGGGCTAAGACGGAGTTGAGGCGCCGCAACGTGCAAGACCTTGCCACAGCTATTGCAGAGGCGGAGTCCTTTATTGATTTCAGCTCCAAGAAGGAACCCTCGTCCAAGCCAAAAGACAAAGACAAGGACAAGGGAAGGTATGCCGGCAAAGGTGGGGGAGACAAGGGCGCTGCACCCCACAAGGATTGGTCCCGTAAGCCAGGTGGTGGCCATGGAGGCAAAGAGGGAAGGGAGAACAAGGAAGGAGCACCCAAGCCTAAGGGTTCTTGCTTCATATGTGATGGACCACATTGGGTACGAGATTGCCCAAAGCGGAAGACCCTCAATGCCATGACGAGCTGCTATGAAGAGCAACAACAGGAGGAGGCGCAGATGGGTTCACTGCAAATCCTTAATGCCATCAAGGCTAAAACGGAAGTCCCTAAGGCGGCGGCTAAAGGGCTAATGTTCGTGGAGGCGAGCATCAATGGGACACCCACACGTGCTTTGGTGGACACGGGTGCATCCCACAACTTTGTGAGCCTTGACGAGGCCAAGAGCTTGGGCCAAGTATAGCAAAGAAGGGGGCTCCATGAAGGCAGTTAACTCGGCGGCAAAGGCTATACATGGCATGGCACACGGCGTCCAAGCATGCATTGGCGAGTGGGGTGGCCACATAGATCTATCGGTGGTACCCATGGACGACTTCAAACTAGTCCTTGGGTTGGAGTTCTTAGACAAGGTGAGAGCCTTCCCCATTCCTTTTGCTAACACTATGTGTATTATGGAAGGCAACACAGCATGCATGGTGCCGGTGGAGCGAGGCGCCAAGTTGGAAGCCCAAGCCTTGTCAGTTATGCAGTTCAAGAAGGGCTTCAAGAAGGGAGAAACTAGCTACCTTGCTACGGTACTGGAGACACCCGATGATGAGCTAGTCCCCTCCCCGCAAGAAGAGGTGCCTAAGGAGATACGAGCCGTGCTAGACGAGTACACAGATGTGATGCCTAAGGAGCTGCCCAAGAAGCTTCCACCTAAGAGGGAGGTGGATCATAAGATTGAGCTGGAACCGGGTTCTAAATCCCCTGCTTTGGTGCCCTACCGGATAGCACCCCCAGAGTTGGAGGAGTTGCGGAGGCAACTTAAGGAACTGTTAGATGCGGGCTATATTCGACCATCGAAGGCCCCATATGGCGCACCGGTGTTGTTCCAGATGAAGAAGGACGGGTCCTTGCGCATGTGCATCGACTACCGGGCGCTCAACAAGGTGACTATCAAAAACAAGTACCCCATTCCTCTCATTGCCGATCTCTTTGATCAGCTTGGTGGAGCACGCTACTTCACTTAGCTTGACTTGCGCTCGGGGTACTACCAGGTGCGGATAGCGGACGGGGATGAGCCTAAGACTACGTGTGTGACGAGGTATGGCTCCTATGAGTTTCTTGTTATGCCGTTTGGCCTCACCAATGCACCTGCTACTTTTTGTACTTTGATGAACAAGCTCTTCCATCCCTACTTGGATCGCTTTGTGGTGGTGTACTTGGATGATATTGTTGTGTATAGCACCACTCTAGAGGAGCACGTGCAGCACTTGAGGGCGGTCTTCCAAGTCCTACGGGAGAGCGACCTATTTGTGAAGACGGAGAAATGCTCATTTGCCCAAGAGGAGGTGTTGTTCCTAGGGCATAAGATACGGGATGGCAAGCTGATGATAGATGAGGCAAATGTGAGGGCCATTCAAGAGTGGGAGCCGCCCACTAAGGTGACAGAGCTACGCTCCTTCCTTGGGCTTGTCAACTACTACCGCCGCTTTATCAAGGGTTACTCGGCGAGAGCAGCCCCATTGACAGACCTTCTCAAGAAGGCGCGTGCTTGGAGTTGGACAGAGTCGTGTCAGGGGGCATTTGATGACTTGAAGAGGGCAGTTACGGAGGAACCGGTACTTAGCTTGCCCGACCACTCCAAGCCATATGAGGTGCACACGGATGCATCAGACTTCGCTATTGGGGGCGTGTTGATGCAGGAAGAACACCCCATAGCTTATGAGAGCCGCAAGCTTAATGACACTGAGCGGCGCTATACTGTGCAAGAGAAAGAAATGACAGCGGTCATCCATTGCCTACGTACTTGGAGGCACTACTTGCTCGGGGCACAATTTGTGATCAAGAAGGATAATGTTGCCACCAGCTACTTCCAGACACAGAAGAAGCTTAGCCCCAAGCAAGCTCGTTGGCAGGACTTCCTAGCGGAGTTCACTTACCATTTCGAATATAAGCCGGGCAAGGCCAATGTTGTGGCGGATGTGCTTAGTCGCAAAGCCGAGCTCGCAGCTATAAGTCGGCCCCAGCACCCTCTTGTGGAGCGGATCAAGGAGGGGTTACAGCATGACCCTCTAGCCAAAAGCCTTATTCAGCTGGCTAAAGAAGGGAAGACTCGGCGCTTTTGGCTAAGGGATGATTTACTTCTCACTACAGGGGACCGACTATTTGTGCCCAGGTGGGGCAACTTGCGAAAGGAGTTGATACGGGAGTGCCATGACACCAAATGGGCTGGTCACCCAGGTATGCGGCGCACACTAGCATTCCTAGAAGATTTTTACTATTGGCCTCGGATGCGTGATGATGTGGAGACATATGTGAGGACTTGCCTTGTGTGCCAACAAGACAAGATTGAGCAACAACATCCTGCAGGCCTATTGGAGCCATTGCCTATTCCAGAGAGACCATGGGAGAGTGTCTCTATGGATTTCATTACTTGCTTGCCCAAGTCAGAAGGTTGTGGGAGCATTATAGTGGTGGTAGAGCGGTTCAGCAAGTATGCCACCTTCATACCCGCACCAGCAGACTGCACAGCAGAGAGGGCAGCAGAGTTGTTTGTTGACCATGTGGTCAAGCTTTGGGGAGTTCCGCAAAATATTGTCAGTGATAGAGACCCGCGTTTCAAGGGTAGATTTTGGACGGGACTTTTCAAGAAGATGGGAACGGATCTCAACTTCTCTACGAGTTTCCACCCCCAATCAGATGGACAAACGGAGCGCATCAACGCTCTCCTGGAGCTTTATTTAAGGCACTATGTGAGTGCTAATCAGCGAGATTGGGCCAAACTCCTTGGGGTGGCACAGTTTTCTTACAACTTGCAGCGGAGTGAGGCTACCAATCACAGTCCATTTGAGGTTGTTACCGGACAACAGCCTATGACACCCAACGCCATTGCTTCGACTTGCGATGGTAAGAGTCCGGCAGCCTACAAATTTGCCAAGAGGTGGCATGAGCAGTCCGACTTGGCTAGGGCGTACCTTGACAAGGCAACAAAGAAGATGAAGAAGTGGGCCGACACCAAGCGAAGGCGGGTGGAGTACATTGTGGGAGACCAGGTGATGGTTAAGCTACTACCCCAACAGTTTAAGTCCTTTCGGAGCGTGCATAAGGGGCTAGTAAGGAGGTACGAGGGCCCATTCTCCGTCGTCAAGCGAGTGGGCAAGGTCTCCTATATGGTGGAGCTTCCACCCAAGTTAAAGATACATCCAGTCTTCCATGTCAGCATGCTCAAGCCTTATCATGAAGACACGGAAGACCTTACTCGGGGCATATCGCATAGGGCACCCACGGCCGTTGTCACATCCTTTGACAAGGAAGTTGATTGCATCCTTGCAGATCGTGTGATGAGCAGGAGAGGTGTGCCCAAATATACAGAGTATTTAGTGAAGTGGAAGAACCTGCCAGATAGCGAGGCGAGCTGGGAGCATGAGGATACACTATGGCAGTTCGCGGAACATATCCAGCGGTTCAAGCAAGAAGACGCGACGAGGGCGTCGCGAGCTTAGGTGGGGGAGAATGTCACACCCCGCAACCAAGAGGCTATGCCACGCAGGCGCCACGCAGACGCCCAGCAGACGATGACATGGAGCCTGCATGGACTGGAGCTTTCTAGACTTCTCTACACAAGTATGGAACTTTCCGGAATTCTCTAGATTAGTGTGGAGTTGTCTAGCCTTTTCTAGACTTGTCTAGAGTTATATAGAATTCTCTAGAATTCTCTAGACTTGTCTTGTACATAGTAGATAGTTCTAGAGTTGTGTAGATATTTCTTGAGGATTCTAGACACTAAATCTAGGCCACACATTTGTACATATCTAGAATGTTCTTGTAAGGCCAAAGGCCTATAAATAGGAGGTGGGAGTTCATTTGCTTCTCACTAAGCAACCAAGTTGTAATCTCTCCTCTCAAGTAATACAAGTTCTATATATTCCCAAACTCTCTTGCTCACTTGCCTAACCTCTTCCTACACACCCAAGTAAGCAAAACACTTGTCTAGCCTTAGTCTTCACTAAGCTAGCACACTCGGGTAGGCTGACTTAGCGCTTCAAGGGGGCTTGAAAGTGTCTAAGGCCGCACGGTAGCTTGAAAAGGTTCAAGTCCGTGACATTATGGTGTTATGATTTTTGATCAGGCTGGGGAGTTGCGTGATAGAGAAATGGACTTTAGAGCACAGATTACGGCACTTGTTAACAAAGTTAAAGAGAAAAGCAAGGCAGAAACTGAGGCCGGGGATGGAGGTCCTGTTGTGACAGAGGTGGACATTCAGCAAATTGTTTTTTCTTGGACTGGCATACCTGTAGAAAAAGTGTCAACTGATGAATCTGTCCGCCTCCTCAAGATGGAAGAGACCCTACACAGGCGTGTCATTGGCCAGGATGAAGCTGTCAAAGCCATCAGCCGTGCTATCCGTCGTGCCCGTGTTGGACTCAAGGATCCCAATCGACCTATTGCTAGCTTCATCTTTTCTGGTCCAACTGGCGTTGGGAAGTCAGAACTGGCAAAAGCACTAGCTACCTACTATTGTGGTTCTGAAGAAGCCATGATCCGGTTGGATATGAGCGAGTTCATGGAGAGACACACTGTTTCCAAGCTCATCGGTTCACCGCCTGGCTACGTTGGTTACACAGAAGGTGGCCAGCTTACTGAGGCTGTTCGGCGACGTTCTTACACAGTTGTACTCTTTGATGAGATTGAGAAGGCTCACCCAGACGTCTTCAATATGATGCTTCAGATTCTTGAGGATGGAAGGTTGACGGATAGCAAAGGCAGAACTGTGGACTTCAAGAGTACTCTTCTAATTATGACCTCGAATGTTGGAAGTAGTGTGATTCAGAAGGGAGGACGCGGAATTGGTTTTGATCTTGGTTGTGATGACAAGGATAGCAGTTACAACCAAATCAAGAGCCTGGTGACAGAGGAACTGAAGCAACACTTCAGACCAGAGTTCCTAAATAGATTGGATGATATGATTGTGTTCCGGCAGCTGACGAAGCTGGAGGTGAAGGAGATAGCGGATATAATGCTTAAGGAAGTTTTCGAGAGGCTGAAAACCAATGATATAGAGCTTCAGGTAACGGAGAGGTTCAGAGATAGGGTTGTGGAGGAAGGATACGACCCAAGTTATGGGGCAAGGCCCTTAAGAAGAGCCATAATGAGACTCTTGGAGGACAGCATGGCCGAGAAGATGCTTGCAGGAGAGATCAAAGAATGTGATTCAGTTATTATCGATGTTGACTCTGATGGTAATATGACTGTTCTCAACAGTAGCAGTAGGGCCCCTGAGTCTACCATCAAACCTTTTAACCTTTTGACCGTTACTCCTTAGTTATCTTTACTGCTGCTTTTCTTTCAAATTGGCTATGGTTGTACTCTATCTTGAAACAGTCTGGCAGTAGAGCAGAAGCCACTCCGAAAATTTATAGAGTTTTAAGGATGTAGTTCTATTACACTACGGTTGTTGCATGTATAGTTTGAATCAGATGGTAGAATGTTGTTTAGTGTTGGTTTTATAGAGTGATCCTAATATAAAAGAGGACTTGTTAAAGTTTTCTTAGTTAGACTCTGGTTTCCTCGTTATGTCTTATGTTTTCTTTTCTTGTAATCTTCCTGAGTGGTTTTGCAGTCATTTGTTCAGATAATGCAGCTGGCTGTAAAATGCTTGTGTTGTGTGGCAATAATGAGTGGTCAGTTGTTATCCATTTAGAAATAATATGGTGGTCTACATCTCAAATACATCAATGCTGATAAAATTGTTTATTGAATGCACAATGTGCTGTGTGCTGTGATCAGGAGAAGAGATTCTCATTTGCTTGATTTGATGGTAGGTAACAATGATTTGCAACTTCCTTGAAAATAATTGCCCTAGCTCTGCTCTCTCTTTTGGTTATGGTATAAACCCTAGTTACTGGTTTTGGCCATTGTACATCTGCTATGCTACTAGTAGTACTCGTTACCTTTGTTGTTTGAAAAATTATGTTGATTCTTGTCAGAAAATTCTGCTAGTGTCAAAACCGAAGTTCATATGATATACGAGAGGATATATCCTATCTTCATCTTCCATCGAACTTCATCCCTGTTCTTCACCTCCTGCTAATTTTCATCTCCATTTTCAATGACACTTCTATTCGCCATCTAACTGGCATCTTCCATGAGTTTTGTTAGTTAAATAGCTCGCTCAACAAAGCTTTGTTCTTAACTCCTCAAACCAACAAAACCAAAACCCGAACTCTGGTATCCCGGATGACCTACCTGGTTCATGGCCATGGCATAGCTCAATGCATAGCTCGTCTGAAAACAGACCTAAATAGAACCCAAAAAAAAAAAAAAACCCTCCTGTACCACTAAAGATAATGAGCTAGTTTCTCAACGTGGCAAACCCTGGTTGGATTTTCTTATGCAGCATGTCCGGCATCCTTTGAATTCAGAGGATGTATCATTACTTTTTATTTTGTTTTTGACAATATTTTAGTATTTTTTAAAAACAATCTTGATATTATAGCAGCCTAAAAAAAAAAAAATTGTCAAAATTTTTCAAAAATGGAGGTGAACATATACTAAAAATAGTGTGATTTATGAGTTCGGCTTATTTAGTTTCCACTTGTAGCAAATCAGACACTTTGTCATAAATTAACGTAGTAATGTTATTGTTACTCACATACATAAAGGACGACCTTTTTTTATTGGGCAACAATGTTTTGACTTTATCTACGTCAAGAGAATAATTTTATTGGCAATTGTGTCATGTTTGGACTTATGCTAGGGCCTACTTTTTCACATGATTACTGGACCAAGATCCACTCAAAACTGGGCCTGACTGAATAAATGAAAATCCAAAACCCCAAGTTACATAAAGCAAACATGGCGTTAAAAATACGCACCGAATCGCATCTTAGCTTTTTATTCCGTCTCTCTCTTAAATAAAGCATTTCTACTTGTGTATATATATATATATATAAGTTCGTTACGAAAACTTTCTTGCAATTCATTCACTCCACTCTAAGGTTGATACTATATACATTTACTCAATTTCTTCCAAGGTATTGAAGTTTGTGCCCTAATTTTACATATTCAACTCTATATTTGTTTTGTTTTTGTATCTAAATTTTTTTATTATCTGAATTAGGTTTTTTAATTCTATAAAGCGCTCATTTGGATCATTTCACCTATTATATGTATCATCATCATCTTCATTGTACATTATACTGTTGATATGTATATTAGTATATATAGTTGTATACACATACATTTCTACATATAATATAAATTTCTACAATTTATTGAGATAGTGTCATTATGTTTGTTTTTGAATTCTTGATCTTCTTCTTCCAGTAGGGGGACTGGGAGAGTTGATTGCTTGGTGAGACAATTCTGGACATAGTAAACATGGTATGTTTTTTTTTTTTTTTTTTTGAATTTAAAGTGTTTCATAGTTTGATGATAATGAATGTGTTGTGTTGAACAATTTACATTTGCTTTTTAATGAGGTATTTCTTTGGCTGCAAGTTTGGAACTTTGGAACAACTTGTCTTGTTTTGGACTGAAAAATAGAAGCAAATTTTGCTTTTGAAAAAAGAAAAGTTAATTGCTGTCTGAACAGTGCCTATAATCGACTACTAAAAATTTTCATGCTTTGTACTTTTGGGAGGTTTCAATTTCTTAAATATTTTATTTTTTATTTTTTTTATTGCATTATATGTATAGCTTATTTGTTTGTTTCTGGTTGATATAAAAAATTACTACAGGTAATAATATTATAATTGACTTTTAATTTTGGTTTTTATTATTATAAATGTCACGATTCACTTTTTCGGTGGTGATGTTGCAGTTCATGAATGGATATGGATTCCATGGAACATCATTTGAGCAAACGTACCGATGTTACCCTGTATCTTTTATTGATAAGGTTGGAAGCTTTCCTCACTGCATGTGTTTGAGTTTAGTTCTGTTAGTCAGAAAAAAGAAAAGAAAAAGAAAATAGATTAGTTCTGTTAGTACTTATTTGCTGCAGCTATATTTATGGAAATAGAAAAGACTAATTTTTTCAGCACTTTGTAAGATAAAAATTCATCAACCGAGCCAAATTCGCTGCTGATGAAACGTATGTGAGCTTTACAAGGCCTAGATAGTGCAGAACTTTGCAGAGTGCATGTGTTACAATTTTGTAACAAATTCAGGCAGAATGCTAATCATGGTTTCATGGCATCTCATGCTCTTTCTTGAGGAGGAAAAAAAAAATGTCACTCTCTTCTTCCTCTGTTCATTTTCCTGTGTATAGCCTAGAAATTTGAAATTTGTTTAACATTTCTCTGTAATTATGATTCCATCTTTTATTTTTTTTTTCCTGCAGTCGCAGATAGAAAACGGTGATAAAAGTAAGTCAGAGTGACCTCAGAAGCTTGATATATATAACATACATTCATTTTTTAATGAATATATTGATTTTGTTTTATTTGTGATGTTTCAGTTATAATGCCTCCCTCAGCCCTTGACCGCTTAGGTTAGTTGATTTATTTAAATATGATTATTTTGGGATGGGTTCGACTTTGGTTAATTGAATTTTTTTTTTTCTTTCATTTATGTTTTGGAATTTGATCTAAAATGCTACAAACTTAATCTTACAGCATCTCTTCATGTTGATTATCCAATGTTGTTTGAGCTCCGCAACGGTGCTGTTGAACGAAGTTCTCATTGTGGGGTTTTGGAGTTCATTGCAGAAGAAGGCATAATATATATGCCTTATTGGGTAGGCATTCAATGATGTTATTTGTGCATGCTTGAAATTGTGTGATTTTGATTAGGTCAGTTTTGCTGTGGAAAACATCTTTGAGGCCTTTTGATTTTTATGATTTACTTTGAATTGATTTCTTGTAAGATGATGGAGAACCTACTCTTGCAAGAAGGAGACATCGTGCGCGTGAGAAATGTAACTCTTCCAAAGGGGACATATGTTAAATTGCGACCCCACACGAAGGACTTCTTGGATATTTCCAACCCCAAAGCTATGTGAGTTCATGATTGTTACTTTTATTTTCCGGTCGGGTTATGATATTTAGTCAGTCATTAGTGTTTGTTGCTTTAGCTTGGGAGTGGATCTTGAAGGTAATTCGTAATGATGTTATGCTGCATATCATTTCACATCCAGCTTTTGTCAAGTTTAGTTTATATAATTGAAAACAATGTACACTTAGACAAACTGGTACTGGTGCATTCCTTTCCGATTTACAAAAGTTGAACTCCTAATGAGATGGAATTCATAACTATGCTATAAGTTACTCCTTTTTTTTTTTTGGATTGATTTTGAATGGTAAAGCAAACATACACACCCTTTTGCCCACTCCCAGGCTTGAACCCCTCCCTTCCTCTTTGATGCAATATGTCCACTGGTAGTGGTAAGGATCACATTTAATTCTTCTGCCGTAACAAAATTGTTAATATATTGAAGATTTTAAGGAGTTTTCATCATTTTATAGTATCGTCTTGTTTATATTTATGAAATATTTGGTATAAGAATGAAATGTAGATCCCCATTATGACTGACTATGTCATGTAGTTTTTGATGGATCTACTGAATTGATTTTTTATTCTTTCCTCATGCAGCTTGGAGACAACACTGAGAAACTTTTCCTGCTTAACCACAGGGGATAGTATTATGGTGGCATACAATAGTAAAAAATATTTCATAGACATCATGGAAACAAAGCCTTCTAATGCGATAAGTATCATTGAGACAGACTGCGAGGTGGACTTTGCACCTCCCCTTGATTACAAGCAACCTAAAAACCCTGTTGCATCTGCTCCTTTAAGCAAAGCACTTGCTGAAGGTTACCATACTTCACTTACTTTATCTTCTCCGCATTTCTGGTATACATATCCTTTTTCCATTTCTAACCAAATCATAATGGTCATGTTCCTGGATCATAGCTGAATAAGGAGACTCTCTCTGGTTTTTCTCTTTTTCAGTAAAAGCCTTCTAATTACTTTGGAGTTGGTATTGTAGAACCTTAGGCTATCTTCTACCTTTCTACAAAGTATTTTCTTGGAGACCATGTGGACATGTATTTTCCTAGTTTCTCTCATAATTGTAGATTTCCTTTTCAGAAAATGGCACCGTCTGTTTTTGCTTTGGGTTCAAACAGGATTCAGTGGGACTTTCACACTGTCACTGTATTTTGAAGCTAGATGCTTCAATTCATGTTTTGTGCTTAAGATATCTCCCGAATCATACAGGCTGACCACTTTTATTGATTAGTTAATTTTCTACTGTAAAAATGGAGTTAAGAAACAATGGCACAATTAATAGATTGTTGTAGATAAATTCTTGTAAGATCAGAATGGATTTCAAGATCTGTTCAAGCGTACCGATGTATGATGCAAATTGTCATCTACAATGGAATATTATCGTATTTGGGCAAATCATTGAGGTTGGGAGCAAGTAAACTGGCTCAATTAGCATTACATGTCCAAGAGCAAAATGATGTTGATTAGCTTCCTTTTTGATGGATGCATACCTAATTTTAACACATTTGGCAGAGGCTGGAAGTGCACATGTTCTTTGAGATTACTAGGGAGCTTATGGTTGTCAGCTACGGTATTTTTTTTTTTTTTTAATGTTATCCATTCTATAATAAAATTAATGTTCTCCTTTGTTCATGCAGGTCAAGTAGCCCCAGCTGAGATTGAACAGAAATTCAACCCATTCACAGGAGCAGCGAAACGCTTGGATGGGAAACCTTTGAAGGATCAGCCTCCGCCGGTTCATTCCTCTGGGTCCAAAGGCAAGAAACCTGATGTCACCAATGGTGGTGGGCAGTCTTCTGCAGTGTCTAGTTCACAAAGGTTGGGTCATAAGTCTAAGGGAAAGCTCGTCTTTGGCTCAAATGTGTTCCGTACACAAAAGGTACTGTCATTTTATCTTCCTGCATCCAACGCTAAATATCCTAAAGTACATATTAGCTGTTCTTGATACACATCTCAACCTGTGGTGATTGCTGAATCCTGCAGGAAGCTGCAAAAGAGACTAAACCCGAAAAGAAAGAAGAGCCAAAGTTCCAGCCTTTTATGGGGAAGAAGTACTCACTCAAGCAGTAATTGGATTCACTATCCATCAATGATCAATCAATGCCTTCAACATTTATTTTTCCTCCCTTCCCTCTTGGGACAATTATTATAGAAACTTTTATCAAATCTGTATTTGTATTTAATAAAATTAACTAGACACTGCCGAAATCGAATACATCAGCTGCCGTCTGCCTTTACGCGGTGCTGAGATTACCAAATGTAAATCATTTATCTTATAGCCATGACCAAAGTTCCCATAACCAAACAAGGTTTGAACCATGCCCAACTCACGGTGCTAAGTTTCGGTCATACCGAATTGAAATCAACTCATGGCCCAAGAGTCAGAATTGGCCATGGTTTGTACTCTGGATCATTATTGTCATATCAATCGAAATCATATCAATCGAAATCATATCATGATCAAGGCTATCACAACTCCTCAGTCACAATCCGCCTTTTGATTAGGCAGGCTACAAGATGAGCAAGGGCAGAGATAAATTTAATATTTTTATAGGTCCGACTATGTTAGTCTGTGGGCATACTGGACTATAAATGTCTTTGGACCAACTGTCCTCCTGTGGCTTGCTGTCTTACATTTGAATCTCATGAAGTAAAAGCATTCAAAGGCAATTCATGGACAGTAGCTTTTTCAATATATAAAAATGGTCTTGTATAGCTTCAGGGTGTATAAGCGTATAAGACACAAGGCCTAAATTTATTAATATTCAGCTACTTTTAAGTTCGGTCAGTGGATGTTAGTATTCAGAATTGAACCAATCAATTTTAGTGAGAACTTGAGACTTAAAGCAACAAATAGCTTGTCCCAGAAGACCGACTATATGAAAATGTTGCGAAATGAACTTGTGATTGTGTAATTAATTCAACTAAATCAGCTCATAATCGATCAACAACACCTTATCGGATTTTTTTAAACACTTAATAATTTATTATCGGGCATATAGAATCTTTTCATCCCACAACAACAACCAATTATAAAATGTCATAAGGTCAAAACACGAAGAGGTACGCCGACATCTTATTTCCCTTTTATGTTATATAAAATTCACCTATGCAAATACTATTCATGCATGGTAGGTATATGATTAGGTATGACCTATTGTTCCAAAATACCTAGCTAGATTTTTTTTTTGCTTTTCGGTAATTAATACCTCGTTAGATTTGTCTGCTTAAACAAATAAATTCAAGATGTGATGTAATTAACTCCATTCTGTTTTAAGAAAAACAACCACATAATATTAGTTAGAAACGTGATGTAATTTTAAATAATTAAGACTCCGTTTTTTAGAAATATTTTATTTTAGTTTTTTATTTTTGGTGTTTGGTTGTCATTAAATTTGAAAAAAAAAAAATTAAAATTTAACAAAAATAACCTACTCATTAATTTTCAACCTCGACCTAGACTTTTGTCATAAATCAAAAAATAAAATATATATATTTTTTATAGACATTGAACAATGTTATACAAGCTGTGGTCTCATCTGTGAGTGGTACTATGATTACTCTCCTCTTAAGAATACAAAATTAAACTACTATCGGAAACTTCATTTGTATCACAGCATATTAAAAAAATTATTTTCTATAACTTCCGGGAAAAAAAATTATTTCTACACATATAATCAAGGTGAAAAAAAATGAAATAAAATAAAGGTCCAATTTTATCAAACACAGTGCAATATATATTTGTCCTTAAATTTTTCGAAGAAACTTTGCCATATTAAGCCATAAAGAAAAAGTTGACCCATTCTATCGGGTTGTGTAACGTTTTAATTTCGGATTTTGAAATAAACAAATATATGGAACAAAAAGGTGTCATATGATTGAAAAATTTCGTTTTAAGGTGCAAACAATAGTATGCTAAAGTTATTACAAGTTTTTGACTACGCTCAACTAGATTTAGCTAATAATGCATTAACATACTCAAAAGAAAATAACAAAAAATTTCATACAAGAGGAACACTTTCGGAATTGTATTGTATGTGGCCTGTTTTCAAAGGCTTAGTGGCAATGGTAAAAATTTGTAGATAAATCTTTAAGATTTCGCTTTCAAATCGTACTCTTTTCTTGAATGGTATGTGCATTATAAGACTTCTTCCTTCAATGATGCGTGCGTTATAAGATCGATACCTGTGTTCTAAAGGAAATTTTATATATATATATATATATATATATATATATATATATTGTACATGCCCCACCCGTCAAATGATGTTGCATGATGTTGCTTGTTGAATACTCCATTTTCCTATTAGCACTAATGATACTACTTTGTCCAATTTAAGGTTGACCACAATCTTGTACTCTAAAGATCATTGTCTTACCAATATATGGTCAATTGAATTAAATACAAATTCATGGGCTACATAAAGTGAGGGCTGCTGATTGCAGTTCGCAATTTTGATTGGTTAAAAAAACTGTTACAATTTAGCGGTGTTGGTAGGAATTTATGAGATAAGTCTTTAAGGTTTCGTTTTTAAATCGCACTCCTAACTTGAATGATGCATGTATTGTGGGGCTGATACACTTGAATGGTACATGTATTGTAGAGCCGATACACGTACTTAAAGAAAATAAAAATAAAAAATAAAACTGCGACGGCAATCCCGACGAGCTCGATCCTCTGCTTCGACTGCAAACTCCTCCAAAACTATAGCTCCGATGCACCTACCTCACATGGTATATATGGTATTCTAAATTTTAACCAACACATCAGAATTTCAGGTTTTGCAACAGATAGAATAGTTTAGCGGGTAAAGTATTTTTTTCTAGTAAAGTACCCCTTAAAGTTCAAGGGCTTGAGAAAGGGAAAAAAATGCACTTGAGTTAAATTCTTATTTACCAAGCTATCAATTTATACATACAGTTTATACGCACATGCAACTTCCGTATAATATATATATATATATATATATATATATATATATATATATATATATTACAATATTTAATAAATTTAATTTTCACTTTATGGGTCTCATTTGACAAAATAAGTGGCAAAAAAGTTAAAAATTAAACTTACCCAAAAAGAAAAAACTAAACCTTCTCGGCAAAAAGTTAGCTTTGCAACCAAACGAAATGAAAACTTCCCCTTATCAAAGTTAAGTTTGAGAGAAGCAAAACCAGACCAAACGTAAAGCAAATTCAGAATACATTATGTAAAGTGATGCTTTGTGATTAATGAGCTCTCTCTATTCAAAGAAACAAAATCACACCCGATTTCGAAAAAAAGATTACCAACAGACATGTGGTCTAGCGGTACAAGGCTCATACTTCTCAAAGGGAGGTTAGGGGTTCGAACCTCAGTGGGGGCAATGTGTGATTCCCAATTAGGAAAAAAAAAAAAGATTCTGGCTATTTGGCAATTGTAAGTGAGAGACTAAAACCAAATTTTTGTGCATTTACATTATTTGGGACGGAATAAGAATAAACAATATAAGAACAGAATTCCGCACAGAAGAGATAAAGTAAAAAGTATTTTAATTTAAATAAAAAGGTAAAGTTGAATGATACTTTTTTTAGTAATATAATATATCATATAAAATATAATAGTATAAATCAGTATTTGTATATATATGATAATATAAAGTGTAGATTAATAAATTTTTTACTTACCTTATTTACCTTGTTGATTTGATCATGATGACAAAGTTATGTTAGAAATGTGGCGTTTTTAATGGGGTAAAAAAGCTGACTTGGCACTTGAGTTGTATTTACAAAGTTATTACACGTATAAAACATATATATATTATAATATTTAATGAATTTAATTTTCACTTTAATCTAAATTTTTTATTATTTTATATAAGTAAGAGAAAAAAGTTCCGGTGTAGTGCACATTACTTTAAATTTTTTTTTTATTTTTTATAAGAGAGAGAAGAAAACTCGCCGGGGGGGTGTTAACTGTAGTTTACTCTAAAATTTTTATTATTTTTTATAAGGAAGAGAAAAATGGTGGAGAGAAGGAAAAAAAGAAATGAAGAATTAGAGAAATTTTTAGAAAGGGGGAATTCTTGGACAGCGTACCAAGGGCCATGTGGTGAGATTCATATATTAATGGAAAAATTTTATTTGGCAGAAACTTTTTAATTTGACATATTGAGTGATGTGCCAAATGTAACTTGCATTTAAGTTATCGGTTGGAGGAGTTCTAATGCCAAATATAAGTAGGATTTGAAAGCATGGTTTGAGATAAAACAAATCACTAAAATTAAGAATCTCTTTTTATTTAAAGCTTTGATTCCGGTGATGAATTGATTTATATATTTTATTTCTTTTTCAATTTTAATTTAGAAAATAATTCTTGCACCGAATAGTTGTAATAGTTGTAGTGAATTACATGATAAAAACTTGATTTTCTTTTTTTTCACTACACTTTCATTTTCTAGAATAAATTTATATATAACCAAACCGACCCTTATGTTTTAGGTACCCCTCTATATATAAATACATGGTACTGTGAAAGCTTTCGTTAAAAAAAAAGAAGATCAAATGGAACCTTTAAACAAAATGTCTTTCTTCCAATTTGTATTTGCAACTTTTAATTTAATTAAATCAATGGTGGAGGTTATCTGGGGTTCAGATGCATCTTCTTACTGTTTCAAATTGATATTAGTTATTAGTTATTGGGTGATTGGAGAATCTGTAGTTGAGATTCTGGGTCAAAAAGGTCGTGCCGAGAAGATTGAAGGAATGATCTCTAACAATATTGTTGGTGTTTGTTTTTGCATGCTGTAGTCTGATGGCGGCACACTTGTTCTTCATTATTAATCCCTTGGCGGCCACCGAACAAAGAACAAGTATATGCCTGATTACGGCTGTTTCAGCTATGTCCACCATTGTAGTTTCGTTTGTTAAGTTGTTTGCAAATTTTGAAGACTCGTCCGCCATTGCACGCTGGGTTATCATCCTTGCACCTTTTTTCCTTCTTCCCCAAACATTATTGTTTCTTGAAGCCTGTATAGCAATCATTCCTGTCATACCTGCTTTTTTAGCTATGGTAAGATTCTACCTTTTAATTACAGTAAAACCCTACATGTTTAATTTGTAAGGGAAAATTAGATTTTAGTGACCTAACCTAAACAAAATTGCTCTAGAGTGACCATAAAGTCAAAAAAAGATGAATAGTCAACAATGTTGAAGTTTAATTGCTAGTAAGTGACCATTTAAGGATAATTTGGTCAAAACAAACTTAAAGATATGATAAACATTATAAAAATAAATTTTACATGACAAAATTGTCATCCAATTCAAAGAATAAATTGTTAGATTCAGCATACTCCTCTCTCTCTCATTCATTGTTTTCTTTTTCCCTTTTTAGTTTGCAATTTATCAATTTAAAAAAATCAGGGTTTTTTTATCACCATGGCCGCAAAACATAAATATTTATAGTGGCAAATTAAGAATAATATTTAAGGATAATTTGGAAGTTCAATCCCAAAATACTCTTTATATAATATTTATAGAGGCGAGGTCCTCCGACTATATTGCCCTAATATATCATCCTTTTGCATTCTTTTTTCTATAGCCATTAGCGAGTCTTCTGCAATGGTGGGTTGGTATTGCTTAGGGACCTTAGTGCATGCTAAAGGATGGGGTAAAGGCTACAGAGAGGCTCTTTTATCATTCTAGAGTTGTGGTCACTCATTCTTGTCATTCCAAGGCTCTTTTAGGGTTGCGAGCCCTTGTTCTAGTGCTTTCCCTCGAGCTGGATTTGTGACCTTCTTGTTGTATGATTTGGTGACATATAATCAAAGGATCAGATCAATTCAAAAATTACTCATTTATAATCAATTGATGCTAAAATAATAAGTACGTGTTTATTGGGTTTAATGTATAGGGTAAATTTGTCCACTTATAAAATAATATATTATAAGAAGGACATTTCCGTAATAACCATCAAATAGTCACTTGTTAGCAATTAAGTTTTAGATTTGATGACTATTCATCTTTTCTTGACTTTAAGGTCACTTTACACCAATTTTGTTTAATTTTGGTCACCAAAGTCTAATTTTCCCTAATTTGTTTTTGTTGTGCCCCACTTTTTTCGTAAATAATTAATAATACTCATAATAAATTAATACAGTTCATTTTTTAGATATTTTATTTTTTAGAAAAAAAAAAAAAGAGGAAGGAAATACCATGTATATTAGGCTTATAGATTATATCCTTTTTTTGGGTTTATATATATATATATATATATTTATCTATTCTTTAAATTGACTTCTCTTTTTTCTTCTTTGATTTGTGTAGCTCATTCCAATGGATAATTTTAGGAGAACTCGTGAGAAAGAAGAGAGAGAGGGTAAGCAATTTTTTTCTAATGAGTTCCCTTTTCTGTTTTCTTGTAACATTTTGTTAATTTGATTGATTATTTCTCTTCTTTTTTTCCGAATTTTCTTTTTATATGCAGATAAAAGGAGATGCAGCAAAGTTGGTTAATTACAATATTGAATTACAAGTGGATTATTTTAGTTGGCTACTATAGTTAGTTCTTTTCTTTTTCCCTTCTTTTTTTTTTTTCCAACAACAAACTTGTTATTTCGATATTGCTTTGTTTTGTGACCTTAATTTGTTATTTATTAAGTGCGTATGCACTTATGAGAATGCTACTGAAGTCATTTATCAGCCTTTTTTTTTTCTTTTTTTTTTTTCTCTCTCTATATAAAATGTGTCGTGGAGACTCATGCAATTTTTTTAGACTCACTTGTAATTAGTTGTTCATATCATGTGACAATTGATAACGACTTCGATTATATATCACGTTTTTTGAATTTAATATATAATAGAGTTGAAAGGATCGGATTGGATTGGATTGGCTGCACTTGGGTCTCTAATTTGAATAGGTCTCAAATTTAATATATGGGCCACACTTTCTTGCGCCTAGAACATCTTTTCCTAATGCTGATTCCATCTTTTATGTTTCAGTTAAATGCCTCCACTACAAGAAAAATGGCTTTTAACAAGGGGCGAAAAACAATTCTACAATGGGCATGGCCCGTTGTGGTATCTCCTGTCGTTGTAGAAGTTCATACTTCTACAATGGGCAATGGCCGTTGTAGAAAGTAAATTTTTCTAAAACGGGCAACACCCGTTGTAGAGGGTGTTATTTTCTACAATGGACATAGCCCCTCGTAGAAATGTAACTTTCCACAACGTTTTTTGCCTGTTCTGCGAGGGACTTTGCCCCTTGTGAAAAGTGATTTTTTTTTTTAAAAAAAAAAAATAATAATAGTTGTCTGGCCCTTTTTCTTGAGATCCAACGCAACTGTATCTATTTTTCCACACAACTGTATCTATTTTTCTATTTTTCCATGTATATTACACAACCAAAACTCCATCCAAAGCCATATAATTTCATACCAAGCCTTGGGCAAATCAACAACATCAACATATTTGATGCATGCAAAAAAAATAGCTCAAGCCATACAAAAAATAAAAAAGGGCAAACCCCACCAATCACAAACAAATTTCAAGAAGTCTTATATTCATTAAAGACTTCAATGTACAATTCCATAATTGTTGACATATATATATACCCACAAAAATTGTAACCTGGCAAGTAGCCACAAAAAATCAAAATATTAAGGCAATTGCTCACTCTTCTAGAAATTGTTTTTCTTGTCTTGATATCCTCATTGTAGTGCCCGTCATCATATTCTAATACCCTAAGAAGCACACCCAGGTATCCCAAAAGAAGATGATAATCTTGAACCTGTAAATAGAGAAAATAGAATTGGGTACAATTAATTTATTAGAGAGAGACAACTAAGGAATGGAAGCAAATACACAAATAATGGCCTAAACTGAATAATAATAATAATAATAATAATAATAATCAATAATTTATACATGTAGGTGGGGACCAAATGGGATCAAAGCATATGGGTGCTACCAAACAAGTCTTTGAGAGACCCATCATAGGACTGCTTCTGTTTAAACTGAATTTCATATGCTTGGTTTAACCAACTAAATCTAATGTGTGCAGGAACACTGGTGACTGCATTGAATTTAACATATAATTATGCCATCCTTTATTGTAGACATCTAATTATGTGGCTTCAGCCCAAACAACTTTAACTTACAATAATAAATAAATAAATAAAATGAAAACCTCCCAAAAACATGACAAGAAACAAATGCACAAAATTCCATCAAAATAATAAACGAAAAAGGAAAATCAGCTCACTAGTTCCACATCCGTCTCTAGGTGTAATGTTTTTTCTTTCTAAGTCTGCCATTCAAGATTCAAGAGTCATCCACTGCCAGAGAAGGAAGAAGCACGAAATAAAAATCAGCCAGATCAACCAAATTATACAGATTTAAGAATATTTTGCTCAATATCTAAAGCAAACTACTCTAGCATGAACTGAATAAAAAAAAAACACTGCAAAAACATTTTGGATGGCAGATCATACTCCATAGAGGATAAATATCCTATGATTAGCTAGAAATCAAAAACCAAAGCATTGCCATTCCCAACTTTTCCTTTTCTTTCCCTTCCAGGCAACTTCTCATAATATATTATGCAAAGATTATATTACAAGTATAAGAGAGTAGATTGTCCCTTTGTGTCTAGATTAATTGATAGGATAGTACTATTTCCAAAGCATCTTATGATGTTCCTAGAGAAATTTAAAGAATATCTGGATGTCAATTATTCAGGAAGTACCAAAAGCTCTGGCTATAACATTACCTACTTGAAAAATCTTGAAGATCGTCGCCACAAAATGTTTTTAGTGCAGGTCTAAGTAATACCTATTTGTTAATGAATATATATAAATCTAAAAAGTAGAGAGTTGACTGAGAATAATCCACTGAAAAATAAAAGTATCTGACTTTAAGAGAGTGACACTCATGCAAACATGACATTTTCTTGTTTTTCACCTTAAGGCTTACGCATGAAGATCCTACACAGAAGAAGTGAAAATGTCCCAAGATTTGAAGACAGATCAAATCCTCGGTCTCTTTAGTTTGCATCTTAAGATTCTTAACAATTTTTGTTATAGATTGAAATAGAACTTCCTACCAAAATGACATACCAATGGAAAGAAGATCTGATACGAAGTTAGAGTGTGTAATTTGTAGAAGATGGTCTTAATTAGATTTTAGTTAAATTTATAGGGGGTTGTGCTCAATATTTTATTAAATTTTAACTGTTTTAGCAAACACACTAGTAAACATAAACATAAATTACAATTACGCAATGCCTATAGCACTGAGAAAGTGACATCCCAACAACTTAAAACGAAAAATCAAGGAGTTTATATGGTGTCTCAAGGAGAACAATGGTTCATTATTTGTGATAAATAGTACAATCGATTCTAGTCTTTTTTTGGTTTTTAAACTTCATACTTCAGATTCCACTATAATAGTTCCACATCCGTCTCTAGGTATAATGTAATTTTTCTAAGTCTGCCATTCAAGATTTAACAGTCATCCATTGCCAGAGAAGGAAGAAGTAGATATCATACACCACCTAACAAAAATAACCACCGAAGAAAAATAGATTCTAACTCTAGATTTCACATTCATTGTAGTTTTCTTCTTTCCATGGGTAAAATAGTCATAAATTATAATATGCGATGTTCTAATTGAGGCATCGCATCAAATACATTTTCATAGTAACCTTGATGTAGATTTTAGTATTATTCTATGTGATTTAGTTATGCTTGAAAATAATGTAATAGTTAATTAATGATTTATAATAGATCTTTAGATTTAGGGTTGGATAAATTATAGTACAATATATGCAATTGGTACTGCATAAATAAAAATATTATCAAAATCCTATGGAACTAGGAACCAATTAGGTCATGACTTGGCTTGTCTGAAACTGTCTTTTGCTCTAATTGGGTTGACATTGCAACATGAGATAGGAGAGTCAAGTAGGACTTCAAGTGACAATATTAAATTGTCAAGTGAACTGGAAACTCAACATAAGAAGATTACACCCATTAGACTTCTAGATATAAAGATGTATATAAAATAGACATAAGCTTCCCTACTTGATATTCAACAAGTGAGCAATGCTAGATCAATATACCTTGTTGTCCCTACTTTTAAGAAAAGAACAAGCTTTTGCCATTGAAACTCTCTCCTTCTGTTTAATACAACCTGACAAAAACATATAGAGTAAAGCAAACACAAGATGCTAATAAAGTGAATAAAATCTTCCTAACAATCATAGCAATTAACAACAAAGAATTCGAGTTCCAATATAGTAAACAGTAATGTGAATCGAGTATAAAAGTATATCAGGATGCAGAGCTCATGTAAAAGTCAGGAATTGGGTTGAAATCATCCTCTGTCATTATAGTTTTCTTCTACGTCATTAAAAATTTATATGCCTACTCTCCAACCATATGGATAAAACAGTGGCTGTGATTGTTAAGCAGGGGCAAATTGAGGTAAATGTATTGCGTGGACTTGTCACATGCATGATTCTGATTTCTGATACAGAGCACGTATATCCTCCAGTTCTAAACTTTTAGTTTAGATATCACATTCAAGATTTTCAGTTACTAACATTACCAATAATATTTGAAAAAATTCAGTCACTATAAAGGTTAATGAACAGATTTAGGAGCATAACATGGTAAAAACCAATAAAAACGAAAAAGTAGTAATTCAGTTCAGCAAATAAAGCATTGAATACCGAATGTAATATTTTCCTTGTGGTAGCTGAATTATCAGTGAGAAGTTTATGTACAACACAAGGGTATGCAACATGACTCTACTCATGTCGAGACTCATTCAAGCTTGTTCATTTATTAAACAAGCCAAGCTGAGCTCTAGTCAGTTAAGCACCAAGCGACCTCCTTACACTTCTAATTTTTCTATACATGTCAAATATATCTAAACACTTCATATTTTCCATAATATCTGAACATCGTTATAATGAGGTAAGGTGAGATGTCACATAATTCTCATTGAACATTTCCATCAATCAATGAGAAGTATGTTTTAAGACCAAACTTGATGTGGAAATGGCTTTGTAAGAATGCAGGAAACAATAAGGAAATGTTGGAAACTAATTATAGAGTTCTTATAAATTCGGTTTGCTTAATTGCTCCAATTTTTTATTTCTAGGATAACTAAAAAAACATTAAACAACTCAAATTCTTTGGTTTGAAAGTTTTCTAAAAGAAATTTCTGGAAAATTAAGTTATAAAAAAGGAAATTTCAGATAATAATAGTATATTATAATTCTATGAGAATTATGTTTCTAAACCAAACATGTTTTTATAGAGCTTGTTTCATTCACTTATCTGTTCATCATATCAAATAACTGGAAAACAGAAAAAGAGTACAGAATTACAAATATTCATTTCGTTGACAGTTTTCAAAAAATACAGTGTTCAGAAAACTGAATTAATTAAAAAATAAATAAATCAATCAATTTCCAAAAAATGGTCTAATTCGGTTTTCAGAATTCTTGAGAAGTGTTTTCTAAAAAACAGAAGAGAACAAATCAATATCTTCAATTTTCACTTTTATTATACATATTAGAGATACAAAATAATCTCTCTCATTCATTCATGACCAACTATATATATCACGACTATGTGCATGCAAGGAAACGTGGGATGCATTCACAAGGTACACAAGTATAAAGAACCCAAAGAAGCAACAATCCCTGGAGTTAATAACAGAACAAGTCGAATAATATATAATTCAAAATCAAAAGTAGAAAAAATCATAACAAAGACAAAGTAGTTCGGAATTATTAGTATATATATATACACACACACACACACACACATAAATATGAATATGACACATCAAATTTGATGCAAAAAGATGGTAATGAGTGCCTGATTTTTAGACAAACTAGTCTGCCGAGACAACAAATGCTTGTCAGCTTCATTTGGATACCTGAGTCACCAAAAACACAGTATGACCTAAGATCCTCTTCATTCAAAATTTATCAAGACAAACGGCACTAAACATTTCTTTTAGGACTCCTTACTATGTATCAATATTGTTGTTTAATTGAATTGATCACTGCTATATACACACATATAAAGTATTAATACTACACTCTCATCATGAGTTTCTATACTCCACTCTCGATTCAATGATTGAGAGTACGAACTTACGTAAGAGTTCCTGTGATTATGGGTCGTTACAAGAGGGGTAGATTAAGGACCCAGCAGTTGGGAAGCTAATTGTAAGCATTCTAAACATAGTTCACTTCATATACATAAATATATATACACAAAACACACACTTGTTTTGCAAACCCTATAAATGTATATAGATTGTTAAGACTTTAAACAAGGTTTTATATTTCATTCTTTTTTGCATCAAATAAAATATAATAAATAGAGTAAAATTCAATGATTAATCATGTACACCGATTTATGTAGCATCAAACACTTATATATAGCAAGGCCACAGACCCGTACAAACCCAACAAGGGAGAACAATATATACAAACAAGAAGTAGGGAATGCTCCTGTAACTGGCCCATGCACACTTCATTGAAGAATCACACCATTATAAAGATATCTAGGAATTATCTCAAAATCATCATTAATATATACAACCACTAATTTTTACCTCCAAAAACCTAATATAATAGCTCACTTGATGTTTACTTTGACTGGACAAAGCGTAACTGATATATGCAGCACTAAGTGTTAAATAAGTACCAAAAGAGAAGGGATAAAAGGAAGAAAGGCCATCAAAATTAATGTATGAAAAAGCTGAAATCCCGAACTCGACAAATTCAAAAGTAATGAAGAGAATGAGTTCACTATAAACCAAATTCTGTCACAACCATAAACTACTAGACATGCATGAAAGAATCCAAATTGGAAATATAGAATAACTGACTATTATCTTTTATTTTTGTTTATTCTTGGCAACTGACTGATCTCCATCAAATAATCAGTAGGTAGACTGAAACCTTATGCAAATAATCATTCAAGCAAGCACGAAATGATAACTTCAACAAAATCGAAATCTGTAAGAAAAAATATTTATACAACATATCATTAAACTCATATAATCATAACATGTATATATGTATTTTCTTTCTACAGGACTGAATGATGAGAGATTTTTCAAAAGCAAATCAAAAACCTAAATTGCAAAACTCAGTTATTTACCCAAGTATCAGAATTGAGAAGAGCAAACAACAAATTGTGAAGTGATTAAGAAATATAATTCAAGATTTGAAACTTACAGAGATTTAAGGGCTTCAATCTATTGTTAATGGAGAAAATAACAGGTTCTGTGATGACTGTGATCCTTTTAAACACTTCGTTTCTTCGTATCTTAGGGAGTCTGAACAAGGGTAATCTGGTTTATGAGCCCCAATCCCATCCTTTCGCCTCACGAGATAGCATTTGAACACGGATCAGCAAGGTAAGCTAAGTTGATGGTTCAAGGTGTTGTCGATGGGTTTGGCTGACTACCCGGGCAGATTCAGATGAAAAGCCTCAGACCTAACGAGACCAATAGATGCCTCTTGGGGATCAGGTTAACTGACCGGCCTATTTTGCACCAAACTTGTTAGACAAGGGCACATCAAACAAAGATAAATCTAGGGCTTTTGAGATAAAAAGAGGCAAAAACTGAGGAGAGATTAGGAGAAGGAAGGATAGTGAATTTTTTTGTTTTTGATTAGAGATCGGATAGTGAATTTGATCAAAAGATCAATTTGCTCTCGCGGGGAACTGTGTTAGAGCTCAGAGAAGGAAGAGAGGAGAATAACAGAGAAGAACAGAGATGAACCATATATATATATATACACGTACCTGGGTTATTTTACTCTGAAGGTGAAACTCGCGAAATTTGGGCTTAGAGGATTAGGGTTTCGTGTGGATTTTGGTTGATGGATCGCGGTGTGCGAATTTGGGAAGAATAGGAATGTTACCTTTTTAGCGGGCTGCTAGAGCTTGATGAAAAAAAAAACCGCCTTTTTTCCTTAAGCCGCCAAAATTAACTTTTCAGAAAAAGAAACCCTATTCTATAAGGGGCCATGCGGGCCTGTTGTTGAAAACCACTCTTCTACAAGGGGTTACACGGGCCTGTTGTAGAAAGTACTTTCTACAAGGGTTATGCATGCCCCTTGTAGGAAATGTGTTGTTAAAAGCCCATTTTGTTGTAGTGCTCCCTCGGCCCTTTACCGCCTTATTTAAATATGTTGGCATGGGATGTGTTCTACTTTGGTTTATCTATTTTTTTTTTTCTTTCTTTCTTTTATGTCTCGGAATTTTGATCTAAAATGCTAAAAACTAAATCTTGCATCTCTTCATATCGATTATCTAATGTTGTTTGAGCTTCGCAATGCGGCGGTGGAACATCGTTCCATCGTGGGGTTTTAGAGTTCATTGCTGAAGAAGGCAAAATATATATGGTAGGCATTCAATAATGTTATGAGTGCATGCTTGAAATTGTGTGATTTTGATTAGGTCAGTTTATCTGTGGAAAATACTGAAGTTTTTTAATTTGAATAAATGGATAAGTGTCCACCTATAAAAAGAATATGACAATTTTTTTTAAGTGGACAACTGTAACAAGGGTCATTTTGTCCCACATCGGAATCGGATGGGAAAGAGATTGGGTATAAATGGGTGAGTATGCTGCCTTACTTAACAGTTCGAGCTTTTGAGTAAATGGGCCAGCGCCCACCCGTTACAGTTAGAATCAGAGCCAAACCCAATCCTTAATCCGGTGCCACGCCCGGCCCGGAAGGCGTCCGGGTGGATCGGATGGGAAAGAGATTAGGTATAAATGGGTGAGTATGCTACTTTACCTAACAGTTCGACCTTTTGGGTAAATGGACCAACAGAGGGAGTAATAGAATTGAAAGGATCATACTCTTATGGGTTGGCTTAGCCGCAGTTGGTTAGGGCTTCTAATTTGAAAGGGTCTCAATTTTAGGACATTGGCAAAAAAGAAAAGATACATAAAATATAAAAAGGGCTCGAACACACTTTTTTGCATGTGTGAAACTGTATGTATGAAGGACTTTGTATTTGAAAATTCGTCAAAGGGCATCTCAAAATTTTTGCAAAGTTTTTTTTTTTTTTTATTAAAGTTGAATGGGTAAGCTTTATATAAAATAAAGAAAAATGGGCATTGTCCAGAAAGAGGACACAGTAAGCCAATGGCAAAACAAGTGATACAGAAGCATCTAAAATGGAACAAAAATGTCAAAGAGAGGACCATCAACTTCAACAAGTAGTTATGGAAAACAGAACCCGGGGGAACTTTGGTGTTATTCGGTCACGCTTTTGCCCATGGCAAAAAATTCCCCAATGCTGCCTCCGGTAGGAGTCTGGACGGCACTATAAGAAAAATTAAATTTTTACAACATAGTATTTACGGATTTCTTTGTTTTGTCTGGTGGTAGCTATTTTCTACGGGATTTATAATAGAGTTTATATTTTACTATGAAAGACATTGTAGTGGACTACATTTCTTACCGTATGATTTCATGTTTTATATTTCAAGGTGCTTACATAATGGGTCATTCATTTTAAAGATATATTTACATTTATTTACATGGCATTTCTCCAACTTTAACGAGGCAAATGTTCCTCGTTGATAAAGTGTAAAATGAAAATAACGCAATTAAGGGATTTTTTTTATCCCGTGAATAAGCAATAAAGCTTCCACCAAAATTTTCACTCCACGCCAAATGAGTTAGCCATAATTAAAGTCGCACTTTAAAAATATACATTGAAAAAAGAAAAGTTCAAAAAAAAAAAAAATAATAGTCCATTGAAGTTGAATTCTATATATTAAAAATGGCACGTAACATCAACAGAAGACCGACTGTATGAAAATGGTGCGAATTGAACTTGTGATTGTGTAATTAATTCAACTAAATCAGCTCATAATCGATCACCCATATATCTTCTTCTTCTTCTTCTTTTATATATATATATATATCCACCACTCCTTAATGTAAAGGTATTGAATTATTTTGTTATTTTTAGTAATTAGGTTCATTTCTTATGGGGATTAGTTCCCTTCCTTTCTTATAGGGGAATTAGTTTCCTTATGGTTTAGGGTTCTATATATAAATACATGGTACGGTGAAAGTTTTCGTTTTTTTTTTTTATTTTAATAAAATAAAAAATAAAAAATAAAAGAATGGGAACTTCTAGAAATTTTTTTCATTCGGATGCGTACTTAATTCTGCAACTTCTATGTTAATTATATCAACGGTGGAGGTTATCTGGGGTTCAGATGCATCTTCTTACTAGTCCGGTATGATAGATTTTACTAGTATTAGTTTTTGGGTGATTGTAAATTGTATAGTTGTGGGTCGAAAAGGTAGAGGTAGTGCCGAGAAGATTGAAGGAATGATCTCTAAAGCACGTCGACAAGGCGGTGGCGGCGGCACAATATTGTTGGTATTTGTTATTGCATGCTGTAATCTGATGGCGGCACACTTGTTCTTCATTATTAATCCCTTGGCGGCCACCAAACAAAGAACAAGTATATGCGTGATTACTGCTGTTTCTGCTATGTCCACCATTGTAGTTTCGTTTGTTAAGTTGTATGCAAATTTTGAAGACTCGTCCGCCATTGCACCCTGGGTTATCATCCAATCTATCATCCTTGCACCTATTTTCCTTCTTCCAGGCAGATTATTGTTTCGTGAAGCGCGTATAGCAATCCTTCCTATCATACCTGCTTTTTTAGCTATGGTAAGTCATCGCTTTTAATTAAAACACTTCCTCAAACCCCTAGATCTTTTGTTTTTGCTAGGTAATATATTATTTTCCCACTTTCTTTATACATTATGGGTTTTGCTAATCAAAATCGCCTTGCGAGATTGTAGCTT